CTTGTGGAAGATCTTGTCCCACGTGCGCTGGCACTGGTGCAGGTCGCCGATGACATCCTGTACCAGGCCCAGCAAGGCCTTGCCTGCCTCCAGGATGCCCTGCAGAGACAGAGGTGGGCTGGGCAGGGCTGCCAGAGGCAGGCACCACCCCCTGTGCCCCCCAACACTCCCCCTTGCCCAGCGCCTCACCTGCATCATGGGCTGATGGTGCTGCTGCTTCAGGTGGAACCATTCAGTGGTGCCAGTCTGTCGACAAAGAGGCAGTGAGCAGGGAGGGATTGCCAGGCCCCGACACTGGTCTCCCCCATCCTCGGCACGAGTACCATACCTGCAGGGCCTCAGTCACCAGCTGGGGCAATGGGGCGGTGTTGGGGCACAGTTCTCCAAAGGCCTTCATCTTGCACATCTGTACCAGGACCCTGCAAGACGAAAAGAGCTGTGTCCAAAGTGCCTGTTGCCCCACACAGCACTCACTCCTCCAACAGGCTTCTCCCACTCCTGCAGGCACCCTAGCTGCTCCCTCATCCCTGACCCCACCGAGGAAGGGGAGAGCAGTCACTGACCTGAGAAGAGACTGCAGCCGGGCTGGGGAGTCCGAGACAGAGAGGGGGAAGACAGAGCGGAACCTCCGAATGAGGGAGAGGCCGTAGGCCAGCAGGGAGCTGAATGAGGCGGCCAGCTCCTCCTGCTGCAGAGCCAGGAGATGCTTTAGGAGCCTGGACAGCCTCTGCTGCTCCCCTGCCCCTTCCCTGAGCCCTGTGTGCCCAGTACCCCTTGCCCACTGCATGCCTACCTGTTCTGCCTTGAGCCGACCCTGGATCCACTGGTACTCGATGCTGGTGATAGGGTGCAGGAGGCAGCTGCTGGGGAACTCCAGGCTCTGGTAGAGGCGGCTGTAGGCCAGCCACTGCCTGCAGGGGACAGGAAGCCCTCAGCTGGGCAGGGAGGAGGGAGTCACCTTCCCCTCTTCACCTGGCTTCAGGGGGAGGGAATCATCTCCGTCCTCCAGGGCCCCTGGTGGAGAACCATCCACCAGCACAGGCTGAAAACTAGTGTCTCAATAGGACATGCAGGACTTTTTTTTTTCAGATGTAGTCTCACTCTGTCACCCAGGCTGGAGTGCAGTGGTGCAACCTCGGCTCACTGCAACCCGTGCCTCCTGGCTTCAAGCGATTCTCCAGCCTCAGCCTCCCAAGTAGCTGGGACTACTCCCAAGTAGCATGGGTACCACCATGCCCAGTTAAATTTTATATTTTTAGTAGAGACGGGATTTCACCATGTTGGCCAGGCTGGTCTTGAACACCTGACCTCAAGTGATCCACCCGCCTCGGCCTCCCAAAGTGCTAGGATTACAGGCATGAGCCACTGTGACCAGCCAGGATTTTTTGTTTGTTTGTTTCCATAGATGCTTTTCAAATTGCCCAGATTGAGATATTTGTGATTTTAAAACTTCAGGATTTCTTGCTGTTTTTGAAAAATTGGATCAGCTAGGTGCGGTGGCTCACACCTGTAATCGCAACACTTTGGGAGGCCAACGAGGGCGGATCACCTGAGGTCAGGAGTTCGAGACCAGCCTGGCCAACATGGTGAAACCCCATCTCTACCAAAAATACAAAATTTAGCCAGGCGTGATGGCGGGCACCTGTAGTCCCAGCTACTTGGGAGGCTGAGACAGGAGAATCACTTGAACCCGGGAGGCAGAAGTTGCAGTGAGCTGAGACTGTGCCATGGCACTCCAGCCTGGGCAACAAGAGGGAAACTCCAGCTAAAAAAAAGAAAAAAAGAAAAAAAAAAAAAGAAAAATAGGATCTAAGGACCTGAGCCTTCATGCACATGTGGCAAGCATCAGCGAGAACCTCCTTTCAGACGGTTTGGAGGGATGTCACACACAGAGGTCCAGTGGGAAGGCAGAGGATGGGGGAGAGGAGCAGCCTGGGGACAGGCCGAGGTCCCTATTGGACACTGCAGCCACTTGCATTACTGTGCTTGGGCCCTGCAGGCAAACCAGGCCCCTCCCCATCTGGTGCTTGCTCCAGTCTCCAGCCTCACCGCCATTCCACCCTCGTCTACGGATCACCCACCTGCCTGAGGTCCTAGCAGTACACATGCTGACCCCG